CATGTAAATACCATAGGATGTTACAGAGATAACCAACTACAGCATGTAAATACCATAGGATGTTACAGAGATAACCAACTACAGTATGTAAATACCATAGGATGTTACAGAGATGTTACTATCAAGAAAGGGAATTACAATTAAAAAAAGAGGAAAGAGAAAGTAGAAGAGTCTGTAGTGTCTTTGATTTCAAGCTCAGAAGTGGTAGGTGTGACATAGTTAAAAGTCAAGATACTAATAAACAATACATAATATCATAATGAAGAAGTATTCATGTGACTGATGTACTGCACAAGTATAAGACCAAGGTCATAAGGTGAAATATCAAATTCATGAAGGTCAAATTTAATATCTTCTTAGTGATGAACAGTACCAGGTACATGAAAAAAAAAAGCAATATTGTTGGGATTGACAGGGCTTGCTCTTTGGTGTAAGGTCTAGGTCAAAGTCAAAGGGTTAAGTTTAATATCTTCATGGTAAACATTGTGTGATGAAATTTTCAAGTAACATTTAAGGGATTTACCCCAAGTGTTGTTTAATGCAAGCTAAGGTCAAAGACAACAGTCAAGGTAAAAATTATGTATATGTTTCTTAATGTTGAACAATGCAATACATATTTTTAACAGCAAATGATGCATATTAACATTAAGATTGACCCCAAATGTCAATTGATGCAGAAAGTCAAAATCCTGGAGGTTAAAATCTACCTTCCTCTCCAGTAAAACGTTCGAGTGACAACATTGTAGTGATTGACCCGAAGTGTCCATTGGGCAGGTTAAAGTGTGACCATAGTCACCTTAGTGACGTCATAAGGATAATTATCAGGATAACATAGGATCCTTTGTGTGACCTCTTGTTGAAGCCTTGACTGCAATGAGAGAGTTAGCAAATGTAGAGCAATCACAAATATTGTTGAACAGTAGTAAATGATAAAACAAAAGTTAACAACACATGTTCACTAGCCTATGCTTTAAGAAATGATGCTGATTCTGTCCATGTGTTGGATATAATGATACTTTGTAACAATACATCTGATACATATGTACATCAAACAATGTGTAGGTACAGGTAATTATGTGCTGTAGGTACAGGTAATTATAAGAATTTGTTTTTTGTTTCTAGCCTTAACACAAGGAGATGACAACTTCATCCTGTGTCCCCCTGCAGCGCTTCAGTGGGACAATCGTCAGCTACGTGTGATTGAAGAGTTGGTTCGCTTCAGCCCCAACATCATGTGCTTGCAAGAGGTAGACATGTTCCAATTCCTGAAGGACACTCTAGGCCAGGTCGGCTATGAGGGCATCTTCACTCCTAAGCCTAGCTCACCTTGTACCAAGTTTCAAAACAACATGGGATCCGATGGCTGTGCGGTTTTCTATCAGACTGACAAACTAGAACTCCTGAGTCATGATAGTATAAATCTAAGAGAGAAGGACGAGGAGGAAACAAATCAGGTGGCTATCCTATGTAAGTTTCGACTTAAGTCTAACCAGAAGGTATTCTACGTCAGCGTTTGTCATCTTAAAGCCAAGTCTGGTTATGCTGACCTACGGCATCAACAGGGCAAATACTTGTTGAAAGTTTTGAAGAAAAAGGTAGAAGCTTACCCAGTATTAATTTGTGGTGACTTCAATGCACATCCCAAGGAGCCGGTGTACGCTGAGTTTATAAAGAGTGATCTGGGCGTAACCAGTGCCTACTCTCACTTATCAACAAAAGGGGAGGAGCCAAACTACACATCATGGAAAATACGAGGAACTCCTGATGGTCAGAAAACAGAAAGTTGTAAAACCATAGATTACATCTGGTATTCTACTGACAAAGCATCAGTAGCCGCAGTATTAGATCTGCCTTTACCCGAGGCTATCGGGGAGGCCAGACTTCCTTCATTCACCTATCCGTCTGATCACTTCTCGCTTGTAAGTGATGTTGTCCTTAACAAGTGAAGGGAGGCTACTCTAGATTTAATTACATTAGTTAGATTAAGTTTTTATGCCTATCAAGTTATAGTTTTGAGGCTAGTTTAATGCCATTATCTTTTTTTTAAGCAATTATTATTGAATGATTATTTTTTAAATACACAAAGGAATTTCACAGCAAATAGTGACATGTTTGTGTATTTTGTGCACTCCTTTAAAGCAGTTTGAACAAAACCTGTTGAGTGTAAAATCCGATATTATTAAAATGTTACATCTTTTTAATGACATGTGTACAGTGACTACAATGTGGAGTGAACTGAGAGCAATCATCATACACAGGATGGTGACGTATGCTGACTTATCTATACTGTGTGGAGGATTGGAGTACTCCTGAGGGCCACAACCAGTCTCTTCCAAAATATGTTTTGCATGTTATTTATTGTTACATTGTGAGTTACATTTCATGTCAAATGACTCTCAAATAAAAAAAAAAAAAAAAAAAAAATGTACCCTTTGACCCTGGTACAACCATTAAACCTACCACTGTGATCATCACCAGGTGTGTTTAAGTATCTGAGAACCCGTGGTTAAACATTTTCTCTGTCAAATTTGGTGTTGTATGTTTATATATAAAATAAAGCTTGATGGATACCTTTAGGAAGTCAACACTTTATAAGAATGGTCGCTCGAGGTATGATTTTGGTCTATAGAATGATAGAGAAAAGTGTATTAAAATAGTGTATTAATTAATTTATGCAAAGATTACTGCCATTATCTATGATGTATCGCTGTTTGTGTTAAGACTGGTGCTCCCTGTATGTCGTCTGTGCTGCATCTCCCGTGTTAAAACTGTAACATATCATTAAATACATCAGTGTCGTCTGTGCTGCATCTCCCGTGTTAAAACTGTAACATATCATTAAATACATCAGTGTCGTCTGTGCTGCATCTCCCGTGTTAAAACTGTAACATATCATTAAATACATCAGTGTCGTCTGTGCTGCATCTCCCGTGTTAAAACTGTAACATATCATTAAATACATCAGTGTCGTCTGTGCTGCATCTCCCGTGTTAAAACTGTAACATATCATTAAATACATCAGTGTCGTCTGTGCTGCATCTCCCGTGTTAAAACTGTAACATATCATTAAATACATCAGTGTCGTCTGTGCTGCATCTCCCGTGTTAAAACTGTAACATATCATTAAATACATCAGTGTCGTCTGTGCTGCATCTCCCGTGTTAAAACTGTAACATATCATTAAATACATCAATGTCGCGGTCAGTATGATGCTGTGACCATTACATGTTGTCCCTCGCTCTGGCTATGTACATGTGGCATAGTTTTGTCAAGGTGGACTCGAGGATTGAGTCCTCACTAGATAGAGATAAATTTCTGTGTAGTATATAAAATCTTTCATGTTTTCATCACATTTTCAATGGGCAATTCTTGAAGAGGATCATCTCAAAATCATAAGGTTTTCAGCAGTGTTTTGTACAGAATTTAAACCTTTGATATGAATCTCATAGAAAACAAGGGAACACTTTGATTGTGTCCATTCAATATTCATGCTAGAAGAATGACTTAATACTTGAGGTAATTATAAATTCATGTCGATATCTGTATTTAGTTTTTACTTGTGTAGATAGTAAAGTTATCTATTTAATTTCACTTATGTAGATAACATATGTTTGGGCCTGTGTTATTACACCCACTGAACTTTCTGTACTGTATTTTGTACATGTTCATCACATACAAAAAAACTTTGGTAATAAAATATTTTTGTACTATCTGTGACATCCTTCTGGCTGTATGGTACCTTTCGTATTTGAAGCCATAGCTCGGTAAAACAAGCAGTGTGTAGTGGTACATTCCTACTCTTTTTACTGGTTGAAATTTAAGCCAGATTGTGTCAACTTGATGTTTAATCTGGAAAAAAAAATTGTTGCATAATTCAAAATTATCATACAATTCTTATCAATTCTGAAACATTCCAGCAACTGTGTAATAAGAATATTGTACCATCTGAGTGAGCACCCTTCAAGCTACTGACCGGGCTCAGTGTTGCTGGGACAGCTAGCTGGTCAGTAAGGTCGTTTGTTCCTCTGATAATCATTGGCTGCTAGAGTAACTGTTACAATGTTGTTTCTTATCTTTGATGTTTTTCTATCTATGTGCAATATATATGTACATACAATCTGATATTGAGCTTTACTGACACCTAACTAACTGTGATATTTGTCTATTTTTTAAGAACAGAATTCCGTATTAGTATAGGATTGTCGTGTCATTGTGGACAAGAAATCAAAGTGGAATTGAGTGTAGATTTCATCTTATTTCTGTATTGAGATTTTGTTTTAAATTATGGCCATTTTTATTGTAATTTTATATAACTTTGTACCTAACACCCTGACTATTGATTTCTTTTCCTTATTTACATAATTTATAATGATCATTTGTTGTGATATCATGTTCAACTGTAACATAATTTTGGTATTCATCATCATATCAACAGAGGAACAAAGTGTATACATCACAGCATGTCGGAAATGAGTCCTATATAAACCAGATTTTCAATAAGATTCCACGTTACACATATCTGTTAATTGGAATCCACATTACACATATCTGTTAATTGGAATCCACATTACACATATCTGTTAATTGGAATCCACAT